TCCCTATGCACAGTGGGCAACTTTCATGAAGCAGGTGGACATGTACTATTGTGCTCTGAAACGGGTTGCCATTTCTCAGAAATATTTGTATATTACTTAGAAAATCGAATTTACGAAAACAAAGGATTTTTTGAAAAAAAAATTTTCGGGGTGAAACACCTGAGGGGAACCCTTGCCCAGCTTTTCGAAAAACGTTTTTGGTAGAAAATGTCTTGTGTGACACATCATCTGATGCAGTTTTGCTCGCTGATTCCGAATATCATATTCATTTTGCGGTACAATGCTATCGAAATCGAGAAAATAGGGATTCGGGGGCAGAAGCCTGGATTTTTGGAAAACTTGTTGGACAGCCTTGGTTCATTGGCGCGAGATAGCGCTAAGCCGAAAAATAATCGGTAAAAATTTCAGATCAATTGGACTTAATCTGTTTGTAGGGTTAACAAAATACGGGATGACCAATTTTCGGAGTGATATCCAGCAAAAGACCCAAATTGTTTTTTCGAAAAATACTTATTGTTATATATGATTCGATGCAGCTCGACAAGCTGATTCCGAATATCACTTTGGTTTTGTACCACAACTCTGTTATAATTGGAAAAAGAGAGATTTAGTGGCAAAAACCTGGATTTTTGGAAGATCTCTAGCACAGCCCGTATTCGTTGGCACGAGGTTGCGCTACGGCCAACGATAGAACACATGTAGAAGAATAATTGGTAAAAGTTTGAGGTCAATCGGACTTAAACTCTTTGTAGGGTTTGAAAAATACGAAATGACCAATTTTCGAACCTACTTTTAGCCCGATAATCCAGTTTTTTCTTTTTCAATTTAAGTCCAATCAAAATCATTTTTTTATCACAATGAACTCAATAGAGCAATCATTCGTTTTGGATAGTTTTTCTTTTTAAATATTTCCGTTAAGCTGGTCGAAGAATTAACTTTGTGTAGAGATAGCGATTTATGAGCAATTTTATAAAAATGAAGTTTTCCAGAGTTCTCCTTAATTTCGGGAAGTTTTATTTCAAGGCAAGATAGACTAATCTTAGATGTATTTATTCTAATATTTAAACTTTGGAAAAGAATACTTTCGTTCATGCCCGCCTGGTTGCCCACTGTGCTATGCTTCTCTTTTCGACCAAAAAGTCGATTTCCAACTGAACATAAGCTATGTTAACCTCACGATTTGTGTGCAATTAGAGATACCATGCGACTCTAAACAGCTTACAGTTGCGTTAAGAAACGTTTTTTAGTAATCATATTGGGACTCTTTTCTTTTACTTATCGTAACGCAAAACATCACGTTTCTCAATCCTGACCCCTTACAACTTGCTGCTAACTTTGTCTGAGGAGGCTGCAATTTTTAGCACAAATACTTGAAACTATCTGACAAAGATAAAATCGACCATTTTCGCTTTTTCACTTTCATATCTGAATGTATAGGGGTCTCAAAATCAACAATCCGTCTCTGCTCTGAGTGTTTAATTATTGCTCTTATAAAAGAAGTAAGTGACATTTTTGAAAAACCTTAAAATTACCTCTGAAGGATACTTCCAAGTATCTGCAGTAAACTTCCAGCCCGATCAGACAAAGTTAATGGGTGGTCGTAAGTAGCCATGATTGGGAAAATTGGTGCTCTTTATTAAACTAATGAGAAGAAAAGAGTTTCAATAATGATTACTATCAAAAATCTTGTTAGCGCAATCCCTTTGTGGCTGAAATATGGAACTCACATATACTCTCTAGGCTCATTAAACTAATACAGAAAACATGAAGTGAAAAATCTCTCGTAGATTAAAATTGTTTTGCAGGATAATCAATCACCGAAATAACAACCTCTCCAATTTCTGCATTTCAAAGAGAATTTTTTTATTTCTTTTTACGGGCGCCCTGGTTTTTGTTTCCATTGTTGCTATTCGCTTATTATTTTTCATTTTTTTTAAATTCGTTTTTCTTAATTTATCATTCTTATTATTATGATCATGGAAATAATTGACAAATAAGTCTGTTTTACATATTCATGGTGTCTACAACAGATCTTATGCACTATCATATATATTGACCAACTTACAAATAATGATGTTTATTATTTTTCAAAATTATAACTTGATCAATTTCAAAAAAAAACTCTTGAAAATCTGGCGTCTACTATTGTCGACTGCCAAGGTCTGTAATGGGAGCTTCCGTTGCTATGGTGTCTGTAATGGAGAGGGGCGGGGAGCCGCGAAAACTTAAAGTTAAAACTTACACTCACTGTTTTCTTCGAAAATATATGTGAGTTTCACAAAACACTCTTAATTCAATAGATCTGTAACAACAAGCTGTTCAGAGTTGAATGTTGTCTTCAATTTCAGACAACGCTTTAGCTAACATAGCGTATATTCAGTTCGAAACTGAGCTTGTGGTCGACAAAGAATGAGTACTCTTTAGTCAGGGTCTTACACATCTGTTTTCGATAAATAACGATAGTTTATGAAAGCCGTTTGGAAACTACAGGATACGAACACTCACAACTTTTCCAACTACCCTTACTTTACGGCGCTAGAAATGAATTGTATAAAGAAAGTTTCGAACATGAAGCATTAATCGAATAATTACTCATTTTTTTCTCAATATACAATATTACCCTACTAATCAAATTGTTTAATATCAGAATTGAATACTAGATTTAAGTTCAGCGTCAAAACTCAATTGAACTTCATGCATGCTGAAAATTTTGAATGAATTTTGTGCATTTTCATATTGGATGAGTCATATGTAATTTCCATGGACACTTTAAACTTGGTCATTCCAGATCAATTATCGATTCTGTCATGTCTAACACTTATATGATAAAAATAATCAAGACATACAAAATGCACTTATCTACATCTTCGATACTAACAGTCATGAAATGGGTTGAATGTGGTTGTGAGTGTGATTGTGAGATGAGATTAAAAGAAGATACACATTCCACATTCACACAGACATCTTTCTATAACCAAGTGCTCACGTGCTTATCGTGGAGCTTTCACATTAAATAAGGGTTTCAATATTTGTTTAATCAGCTTGAGCAACAATTCATAAAACTCTAATCTGTATGATATATCTTAAAGTGTGTGAATATGTATTGAGCTTATTACGAAGTTATGGTCCTGACTGGTATAAGATGACTGGCAGACGAAAATTTCAGCTATGTTATTTATCGAAAGAATATTTTATAAAAATTCTAGTTCTGCATCCATCTGTAAACAACGGTCCAAAGCTCTCTCTTCACCTACTTGTTATTGGTGGACAAATTTGTTGATCAATCATCGATGTAGGATAACAAACAGGAGAACTATGACATCGGGGATGACGAACACAGATATGACCAGCTTTCAGACAAACATCATCTGGAGTCTCACAAGAAACAAGTCGTGAACAATTCACCCCAACAATGCCACAAATACCCATATCATCAGCATCTGTCATATATAAACACCCACATGCACTATTGGTCGAACATTTACCATATTGATTCATGCCCTGGCATGTTTGAGAATTCACCCGAACTATCAAAGAATTAAACTAATAGCTAGACAAATCATAATGAAAACAGATACAAAACCTGTGAGACTAAAATGAGAGATTTTTTAATTTTTGATTAAAAATAAAAGAACGATTCCAATAACCTGAATAAGACGAATATGAAAAGTTGCATTGCTGTTGTTACCATCGCTTGATATAAAATCAGATGGAGTTATAACGATATCGTTTTCTTCATCTTATATTATATATACATCTGTTGCTTTTTAAGCTGTATTCTTCAAAAGTTAAAA